TCTTATGATAGAATAATTCTCGAAGTTCTCGAAACACTAGGTTTTAAAATAATTCTTGTTAGTAGTTTTCTTGATATCAACAGGCAAGGCATTCCAGAGCAGTAGACTGCACAGTAAAAAAGGAATTAAAGAACCACTCCTGTGTGGGGAATACGAATTTTAAGAATATTTTGGGAACGGGAAACTCTATCGTGAGTGGAATACAGATACTGAAAGTTTTCCTTAAGATAAGAAGGAGAATTTGGGTCATTTGAAATTGAATATAGTGCTTGCAAAGTTCGGGAACTACGCCTTTGACGAATAGAGAGCCATTTGAAATAAAGACTGGGAAACATGATCATACTTACGTAAGCCGAAAATAAACCCAATGCAATTGTTGTTTTAAATATAGTTCTTGGTAATACACATCCGTGTAATCAATAATGTGTAATATCAAAGTCTGGATTAATAGAAGTTTAGTTTGAAAAGGCAGAAAGTTTTTAAGACGACAAAAAAAGAACGCAAGGTGGTGGTAACTTTACGGCTTGTTCCGGCAACATGAACTCCCCAGCTTAAGGTAGAGTCTATATGTAAGCCAAGACTTTGACAGAATTACAAAATTGTAAATACGGGAGAAACCTATAATTATCATATTAAATATTACATAATTATGAAAATGTTTTGAAAAGCGTTGTGTTTAATATCAACAAAATAGTATTAAGTATACTAGCTGATACCCGCTCGCTTCGCTGGGCGCGCGATATTTTATTGCGTAATCTAAATGTAATAATATATCAAGAAAAAAATTTGATTGGAAATCCGTCCTTAGTGAGCGTATACATTGCAAAATGAGTATCTATACTATATATATTAGAGATGCATCCGATACCATATATCGGCGGTACTCGAAATTTGCCGATATATCGGAATATATCTTTATGGCGGATTCAACAATACTTTTAAAATTTTGCGCTTTAAATTCTGTTCCCTTGCAAATGAGGCACGAACTATGCTTTTGCTGCTATCTTTTTTCCTTGTTTCCCCTGTCTACTCTGAGCTGTGATTGTGTCAAAGAAGAAGGTATCTCTCTACCTAAGGTATCCTAATATATCGAGAGGCGCAGATCCGTTCATTTTCTAGCGCAATTACGTCTTATACCCAAATTTGAAACTAACTCTAGTTTCCAAATAAGTTCTGTCAAGAGACTATTTTCCACCGCAGGTCTTATTCAAACAGATTTACGAAATTGTTTTTCCCCGCAAAAGTTAAATACTTTGTTTGTTGAACAAAAATCTCATCAATGTTAATTTTAATTAATAAAAACAACAATTAATTAATTTCAATCTTTCTATAGTTTTAAACGGTCTTATTTAGTTTGTCCTGTTATTTGTTTTCTTTATATTAATAAAAAAATAACCTGAGTTGTGTTTTATTTATTTTACCTCCATTTTTGAATTCAATAAGCGTATCGGTATCGGTATCGCCGATATTTTTATAAGAGCATCGGTATCGGAGTTATACCTCGTATAATTCACTGCTACAATCATATTGGTAATGGAGAACAATGTCAAAAATCCTGGCTATAAAGATAAATCCTTTCTAATAAGGGATTGGTTTGCGTGGATGAAAGTGTAAGATGTAAGATTATAAGAAAGAAGAAGAAAGAAAAAATAAAATTTATTTTAAAAACGCATAATTTTTTCTCCCATTTTCTTTTATCGTCTTTTACAGAACTTATCAATGGAAATTAAGTAATAGTATAGTAGGCTAGGCTGTTCTATGTGTACAAGTATTTCCCAACTTAATGATTTTCTTACCATTAAATTCCGTCACAACTCCAATAGAGAACATAGACCAAGGAATGACACAAAGCACGATCCAGAGCCACCATCCATCGACTGTCTGCGTGTCTTACGTCACCACTCCATCTAGTAGCGGTTCTATACTTCGACTACCAGTGCGAAGCTACCACTCGAGAACCTTTTTTCCCCATCAGTTGTAGGTTCTTCGAGCTATATTTCCGGTCCATTGCCTTACTCTCATACTACTTCAGATATCCTCATTTCTAAGTTTATCACGTTGAGAAACCCCGAGCATAGCAGTCTCCGTAGCTCGCTGAGCGACCTTAAGCTTCCTCATACGGCCAGCAGTGAAATACTACGTCTTAGATTCATAAGTCATAACTGGCAACACGCACTGGTTGTTCAATCTTGTTTACAAACTTTGAGCTATACCTGACGAGACGATGTGGCGTAAACTCGCGAACGCTGCCAAACGAAGTTGGACTTACCTATTCGAACTATTTGTCCCAGGTAAACAAACATACGTGACTTGCTTATGATTAATTAAACGATTTTTTATGCAAGGTTAAACAGACTAAACCGTTGTTAGTCGAAGTTGCTTACTTTGGTGTATATATATAATACTATTATATATAAATATAAAATATATATATATATATGGTTTTTCTTTGCCAACTACCAACAAAATGGATAGCTTTAAAATCGTCCCTCATAAATAAACGACGTGTCGTTTAATGTAAAGCTATCGCGAAATTTCGCTGTTTAGCTGGAAGCTGCAAGGCGCTACGACACTGAAATATTCTCCACCGGCAATTTATCAAGCTCTATCTGGCTTAATTGATTGTTGATTAAACTGTTAAAATAATGTTTTTAAATATTTCTTCTGAACTTCTTAATAAACGACAACGCTAATTAATGATGTATGCCTTTGAAAATGGGCGCCTTTTAAAGCATTTGTTTTATAGTTACACTGATAAAATACACAAATTATTATTATTATTAAACGCTTCATATTAACTTGACCTGTGTGTATGGATGTAATGGAATTTTGTTATTCTGTTTTAATTCAGTTCCAGACGTCTGAATAATCTGAAATTTTGCAAACGTATTGAGAACCGCTGTAAAGTTACAGCCTATATACGTCCCACTGCTGGGCTCAGGCCTCCCCTCATTTCTGAGAGGGTTTAGGGCAAGCAAGTGTCCGCCGCGCTGCCCAAATGCGTATTGACGAACTTCACATGTCTTCGAAATATTTTTTTCTTATTCCTCAGACATGCAGATTTCCTCACGATGTTTTCCTTCACCGCTGAGCTGTGGTAAATCAGCACTTAAAATTGCAATTAACAATTTCATTGGTACCGGCGGGGATCGAACCCGGGTTACTCGCGTTGAGAACCGCTGACAATACAATAATTCCATGACTACCACCTAGTATTCTCACTAGAATCGTCAATGCGTGTTGTTTGAGTTTCTTAAACTCTGATATTATATTTTTTATAAAGAATGATTTAAGATATTTTTTATTATTTTTTATAAAGAAAATAATTATTGAATTTTATTTTGGCTTATGAGTGATTGTGTAAATCTGATATAAAACGTGGTCTGCTTCGTAATGACATTTGGTTTCGTTATAATATGCAAAAGTGTCAGGGATTTAGACTAGGTATCTATTATAAGCAAATATTTTTATAATTGTCTTATTTTACGCTACAAAATATTATCATAATGAAAACCAACGCCATTAGGGAGTAATTCCCACCGGCAAACGATGCTCACCCGCCTACGATTCCCACCAGTTACATAATCGCACTGCTATAAGTTGCTATTGTTCTCATGTCGCTAGTACAGCGTTCCAGCCTACCTCCAACCTTATCCTATAAAATATTACATCGGAAATTGAGAGTGATTAACGCGTTCACTTTGGCACAACAATTTCTCCTGCGCAGTTGATAGTTTTAACACTATTTCGACGTAAATCCAAATCATCTAGATTTTAGACACGCAGACCTCATAAATAAATCAATAGTTTTTAAAAAATACTTTTAAATAAAATTTAATGCGTTTTTTATCTAATAGTACATGTCTGGATACAGATTGTAGTGATTCCACGACCGGAGAGGACCAAGCTCTCACAGACTGAATCAGCTGCTTCGCGTGAGTGACGGAAACCAGAGACTGCCTACTAAAGTTTCCATATTAATCTTCATTTACTCACAACTTATGGGTGCGTGGACCCTGCACCCATATTGTGGTTATACACGGAACTTTTAATAGCTTGGGTTGTGTCCTCTGTCGTCGTTATATATTACCATTATACATACAAGCAAAGAATTATAAAAATGCTATGTTTTTCTCTCGTATGTCGTAAAATTGTACAAATTTATTTTATGTTTTTTAGATAATAAATTGATCTAAAATATTGTGAACATAAACTTAATTTCAATAAAATACGCCGTTCTACTTGTAAATCGGGGATTTTGTTTGTTTTAGATTCTCCAAATGAAGACTATATTTCCCTCATTTAATAGTAAAATATTTTATCAAAAGTACTTATTATAAATTAAAACGAAGTGAATTTATTTCAAAATCTATTCAAATTGAACAAAATATATAGGGAAATGCTTTGTTCTAAAAATATAAAGAACCGGTGTTCTGAATTAAATTTAGGGGAAGCTCAATGGAATAATTAAGAGAAAATGTATTATTTATGTCGTCAAAATTAAAAATATTTTTATTTTGGTGTAAGTCAATATATCGCTTCTTTAATATAAGATAATGACAGTTCAAGATGTATATGTTCATTCAAAATATGGTTTTTTTGAAGTTGGTAGCGCCACGCTGCAGCTATATTATGTTTGTAGCATGAATGGGTCGACTCGACCGGGGTAGGAGACCACGCTCTCACAGAATACCAACGTAAAATAGCAGTTTGATGCTGCTGTGTTCAGTATGGTGAGTTTAAAGAACCGGAGATCCTTTTCACTGGAAACGAGGCATTTCATCTTAATCCTCAGACGCAACAACGCATCGTCAATTTCATTCTTGACCGAGAATAAAAGTAGACGTCTATGGGCCACAGTATTCACACTCAGGTGGACTGTGTGCTCGTTTGTTACCTAATTCTATACAAAAAAATATAAAACGTAAATATGACGAGAAACGTGAACATCTCGAGGTTAATGGATCGTCTGTTTTTGTTTTGCAGGGCGTGGGCGTGAAATGGCACGAGCGGGCATGTTGCACAGGGGTGGAAAAAACGGTGCCGAGTGAGTATTACTGAATATTACCAATTTTATTGACTGTTTAGAAAGAAAATATGAAAATAAATAAAAAGCCGTAATGTTTTCAGTCAAACACGTCTTCGGACTTAACATAATTGATATATGTTCTAACCTGTTATATCTTTTTTGTTGACATTTATTTAACAAAGATTTATAAAGTCTTTGTCAATATTAAAAAAAAAGCTTACAAAATAATATTATAAAGACGAATTTACATGGTCGTACATTTTTTGTATCCCTCATACATCACGAATGAGTTTTATTATATTACTCATAAATAAACGGCGCAAGTACCATAGAAGTGGGATAAATATACACCCGATCGCCCTTCCCGCAAGGTACTTAGGGAAGAAGTGGGAAAAGCGAGGGGGAAGCTCAGCTTAACGCAGGTGTACCTGAGCCCGTTAAAGAAATGACTTAATATTTTTATTACAAGCCTATATAGAGCGGTTAATTCCTTTCCAATAGGTACGCCAATGGACCTGATTGACTGATTATTTTTGTTAATTATTATTTCGGTATTTTGCACTTTTTTTTCTTATTTCCGCTATAATGTCAATTTATTATTATCATTAAGTATCTACAAGTAAAGTTTTTTAAATAGGTTTTACTAACTTAATAAACTATTAAAATCAACATAAATTCATTGAGTTGAACACGATTTTAGATTACCATAAATACGAAAATTTTTACTAACGTATTTCTTAGAGGAAGACCGCTCTAGTCATCATTTTCAACATTTCTATTCCCGTACGGAACTAACCTTTCTATGCACATAATAATTGTTTTATAGATCTGAATGTTTTTGTACGTTAAAAGCCTCTACGATGCAGAAGAAGGTTTTCACGTAAAAAATAAAATACATAAAAATATCCTCGGATATTTTATCAGGATATTAAAGATAGTAAAGTAAAAATCATTGCTCAAAACCAAATGTAACAAAAACCAGCCGCTGCTGGAGTGCATTACTTCCGAAATTCATCCGCATGAGCTTCGGGCAAAAGCGAAATTTCCAACGAACAGTTTCAATAGAAACTAAGTTGTTTAGTGATACTATTTGGAGTTGGCGCCACATCTGTCTTTTCGCTGCATTGCAAACTATATAGACAGATCCTGTGAGACGACACGTTGCTCTTTGATGCGGTGCGGTACAAGGATCGTCTTACCAAGTTTTTAATTCAATTTAAATTAATGTAAGCGTACGCGTGTACTGGTTTATAGGGTCTCGTTTATATACATTAATTAAAATACTTATATTTCTCGACTATTACTTTCAGCTTCAGATATTTCAGACACTTAAACTGAATCAATCTTTAAAAAAAATACTTTTTCATGATCGTGCAATATTAAAACTATTTCTAAGTAGAAACGTTTCTCGTTAAGTCTTTTATTACTCGACTTGCTGTAACTTTACCAGCGGGCGTGTCCAAGACTGTGGTATTTGAATTTCCTTTGACCCGCCATGCATACCCCTCGAAAACTATATTTTCTCACCTCGCTTTGGTCTTATGTTTTCATAAACTTTAAATTGTCAACTGAAACTTTGCTTCCCACTTAAATGAACTTTATTCGTTCAACACTTTACCCTTGCTATTAGTTTAAGTTGGTACAGATTTAGTTTACATAGAAACATAAATACGGATAAGATACTAATAGATTATCGTTTTAAATACTATTTATACAATTATTATTTATTAAACTCTCACGCCTGTTACCCGTGAGAGGTACGCAGACTTTACTGCTACAAACATCCATTTGGCACGATCTTGACACACCTCTCGCATCTCTCACTTCCATATACCTACAGCATAATTGCTCATCGGTTAAAGGTACTAAACTATTGCCCGCCTCACAACGTGAGTGCTCTACTCTCAATATGTGACCATACCTCAGTTTCGGTACATAAAATCGTTCTTATACTTTTAACTAGACATCAAACCCATATTATTAGTTACGTTACAATAACTACAGACATTGAATGACATTATGAATAAAATTACATTATAATTTATTTACATTAAGATTTTTTTGAGAAATTTACATTGAGGTTAGTTTATTTTGTAATTGATGCATGTAATTGAAAAAATATGTTGACTGTCTTCTGTTGGTCTGTGCGTCGGTGAGTCGTCTCACTTAATAGAAATGTAAGCCATACATTGAGATATATAGTATTAAATAAAATTCCATATATTCTAAGGAGAATCCCTATTGATTTTTGTTACAGTACACCGTTTAAAAATTATAAATAAAAGTCGATCAGATCCTCTACTTTTTTTTTCTTGTAAAAATTATCGTCTCTATTTTCATCTTTTTTAATTTTATTTTTAGTATAGTTAGCGTAAGGCGTAAAACTTTTGGATTTTTCAAATATTTCGCTTGTAAACTAAAAAAACAAAAAACTAAAATAGGTTCGAAGAAAATATTATAGTTATAAACGAAGGTGCGATCAAATGTTGTGAGAGGATTTACATGTATACCTACGTGTCAGAATCTTTGATTTCATCTTGGGTGATCCGCCACGCTCGAAGCGTCCGCCTACACAATCGCTATAAAATATTGCAGTAGGTGTAATTTTGCCACAAACTTTACGGGCAATATGTTTGAGTTGCTTTAACATATTCACGTCGTCTTCGACCGGGGACGAGAGGGGCTAAATTTTATGCGCCATCTTCAATACGATATATTCACAAACCGTTGTCGGCTACCCCGCTATTGTGGAATTGTATTTACGATGTGGACTGTCGGTCGTAAATCAGTATATCGCTTTTATGCGGTGGGGAAATAGCTCATAACTTTGATTGAGCGTGCGGTCTACAAGGTCTTTTTACCTCCATTCTACAACTCGATATTATTTGTAGGTCAATGCCGTGCATTTAAACAGTAACACATGCTGTGTTAGAGCCCGTTCCCACTTATCGGGTGTCGCGCCCGACAGAAAATCGGCTGCTCCAGTGGCAGAACATTTTATATGACGCTGTTCACACTTATCTGACACCGTATTTATGTTGGCGCCGACAAGAAATGTCGGGTGTTTTGCCAGTCCTCTACGTCCTTAATAAAATCGCGTCGAACCTCGCCTTGGTTAAGTATGACGCTATTCACATTACGTCGGATGTCAGGCCTGGCAACCCTCTATATCGGGGCGCATATGCAGTATTTGCTGTTTCGTAATAATGGAAAAAGATAATACTCATACAAATTATGTTAATTAATAATCGTATTATACGTGGTAGAGCCACGTTGCAGATATATTTTGGTTGTAGCACGAATAGGTCGGCTTGACTAGGGTAGGACCAAGCCCTCACAGAATACCAGCGTAAAATAGTAGCTTAATGCAGCTATGTTTCGTATGGTGAGTGTAGAGAACCGGAGACCCTTATTACTGGAAATGAGGTATTCCATCTTAGTCCTTAAGCGTGACAACGTATCTGCATTTTGATTTGCAATCGAGGATAGATGTAGATGTCTATGGGCCGCAGCAACCACTTAGCATCAGGTGGACTGTGTGCTCGTTTGTCACCATATCCTATAAAAAAATCCTAGAGATTTGATCACACAGGTTCTGGAAAGATGTATTCTTTAGGACAAAAAATTTTCTTTTCTTTGATTTTGTTTCTTTGTTTTCTTCTTAAATAATACGTCACAACAAAAGCTTTGTCGTCGTCCATTGTGTGTAGTCTCCTCGCATAGACAAGAAAAAATGGCTCCAGCTACAATCGGGTCGGGTCTGACAACCGACTAATGTGAACAGAGGCGCCAACTGAAGAATCTTTAGTTTATGATGATATAAAACTCCTGGGACTCCTTTTATGCCCAGGATTCCGTCCGGTGAGGTACCACCTTCTTAACTATTTCTACTGCCACATAGCAGTGCTTGCACTGATATATATATATATATATATATATATATATATATCATATATATATATATATATATATATATATATATTATTTTTAATAATTCTATCATAGTAAACCAAAATTTTTTTTATTAATTAGTTTAGTAAAACCTTAAAAGTAAGGCCTCTTTGCATGTCCCTGAAATCTTTTATTCCTCTGATATCCGTGTTTCTCACTATATTTTCCTTTACCGCTGTTCGACGAAAGTTCAGCCTCTGAGCTATTACGCGTAACCTTATTAAAATACATTTAAAAGAACGCAAAATATTCACAAAATAATATTTCTAAGTACCCATTACCATTTAAACTCAAATTCGAACTGCGGTAACAGGGGAATACCATTTCTCCTCATTAGGAATATGGTAATGCTTGGAATACATATTCTGATGTTATAAAATATTTCTGTTGGCAGAAATTCATTAATTAAATATTGCCCCTAATAAGTTAAATTTATTTAATATTTAATCTTATTATTTTATCAAGATGATTATATTATTATAGGTAAAGGAGTATTTTTCCACATCTTAGAGTCTAAAGTCAAAACCGTGACTTTTTATTAAATTTAGGCTAGTTTAAAGAATACCGTGTAATGGCTTTGTAAGAATATATACTCCCCATATCATCCCGTGGGTGCCATAAGAGGTGAAACAGATCAGGAGATGGACAGCAGCGCCTTTCCAACAACGACTAAAAATAAAATAAAAAAGTTCGATTGCCACCACGCCTGCCAAGCGTGGCAACTATGGCAAAATCCTCCTTATGAGGCGATCTATGGTGGAGGCCTATGTCCAGCAGTGGACTTTAATAGACTGTAAACGTAAAGGTATGGTAAAGAATGAACGTTGAAACCTTAGTTTAAGGTATAGATTTTATACTATCGCATAAAATAAATATGAATTATTATTATATTATTTTTTGATAGGGTGACAAACGAGCACACAGTCCACCTGATGGTAAGTGGTTGCTGTGGCCCGTAGAGATCTACATCTATCCTCGATTACGAATCAAAATACAGATGCGTTGTCACCCGTTAGGACTAAGATGGAATGCCTCGTTTCCACTTTATCTACACTCACCATACGAAA